TTGTCCCCCCCAAGTTCACCTACCCTAACGACCACCCAAGCTTCTAAAATTTACGCGATATCTCATCAGATTCTAATCCCCAGAACTCCAATATTACAACGAGAACCCTTCCAGTACAAATTCGGTAATATATTATGCAAGAAAAGATTCTAACATTCAAACCAAACAATATCCTTTCAATAGATATGTAAAGAAATATAATGTAATATCTACCACTAGTTAAAAATAAATTACCCAAGCAAGATGAATATATATATATATACATATATACATATATATATATAGAAGTTTTTTATATATATGTATGTATATATACATGCTGGGTTTTCTTATGAAATATTCAATTTCTCCTAAAAACTAAGGTAGTTGCAAAGTCTTGGATAATGATACGGGTTTCTACAAGCTTCAAAAAGAGCTAAACCTATTTATACTTACTTTCATAGAGTATATTCAGCTTACAACTAATGAATATATCAACCTCTTGAACTTTCTTATTATCAGATTTGGAAAGTTCAAAAAACTCAATCTATTCGTATTATTCAGATAATGATTATCTATATCAATATGTCATTCTATATCATATACAGATTTCTTAAGGAATGTGAATACCAGTTCATGTAAATATTGAATTGATATATCAATATATATAAGTAAGTACATACACATATATATAATATGTATCCTTGATCTTTCTTATGTTGCGAACTATTAAATTTCGTCTGGGATTGTATTTAAACCGATCTGAAATTCAAGATTCGGACTGGAGGCGCAAGCCGCAGCCCTAACGCCAACCTTCTTCGTTTCGAAAGGATATATCGTACGCGCGCGTCAAGTACGCGGCTGTTACTTGCCGAATTGGACTTTGCAGGGATGCCGCCCCCGACATCAAACAAAGTCTTTGCCTTGCAGTAGCCTCAAACTTTCAAACCCTCAATGGCTAGTAGTATGACTTGCTCAGAATGCACTCCGGATGCAAGCCCTCGGCCCTGGACCCCCCAAAAATGCTCCATAATGCGCACGAGGATTATGGGTGTAGGCTGATGATGAAAACCGAAGCCCTAAGCCCCAAAACCCGGAAATATTTAAATCGAGGGAAGCCGCCTGGACACAGAAGCCGTCAACATCAGACTTAGAAGCTTCGAGCATTTTGGCTTCCTCGGTTTGGGGCCTCAACCATGAGCCCCCAACAGTCTAAGCACGTTCCTTCGTCAACCTTGGTGCTACTTGTGGCGGCTTCGGATGTTCGGGCCTGCGTTTTCGGCTGCACGCGTTCAACCCTGGATTAATAATGCTGGCTCTGCGCATTCCCAGCACCTGATGATAAAGATGTATGCAGATGACAAAGTCCCCAAACCCGAAACTGCAAACCCCAAATCCATTCCAGGGATAGCTGAAGTCTACTCCCTGGCCCACAACTCTTGCAAGCCTTCTTTCGGGGGCAGCCGTGGCGCAAAGGCGGCAATTAAGATGCTGCAGTCGGGGGTCTAGCCCAGAACACATGTTTCAAGGCTTTAGAGTTCAAGTCGATTTAGGCAGCGTAAGGATTCGGACCTGGTGAGCTCATCAGTTTCGAGCCGTGTAGTGTCTGACACAAGTTGATACCTAAACGCCTTAAGCACAGGTCCATGCCTTGTCAATCCGCGGACAATGAAATCTAACACTCCTGTCGCACGAAGACGAAACTACGAGATCAAACATGGACCGGACCGAATAGCAAGCAATATAGCACCATGAGATGACGTCTGTGAGCAGGCCCGAGATCGGCGGCTAGGATCCTTGTCACGATGGCGAAAAAAACCCAAAATGTTCGGAATGTCTCAATCCCAGTGAAACTCAACAACCTGAAGCCCAAAAACCCAAATCTACCACAAAAGAAGCGACTTCCCGACGGAGCATTCTGTGGCTAGACTGCGCGACTGCCCTCGCAGCTTCACAGGACCCCGATCGTCGTGCAAAGGAGTAGGTGACTTCGAGTTGGGTGCATCTTGTTTCTTGGGGCGCGGACGGGCTTTCTGGCACTTACACTAGACACTGAAGTATCAACAAGCTGTGGCAGAGTCATACACCAGCTGAAAAGCAGTCTCTTGGTGACATGACGATCTCCATGCTTTGGCACTAGATTCAGGATATACTTAAGCTTTAAGGGCAACGATTTCCCGAATGTCAGTGAGCAGGAACTTGGTGTTTCTGACTTGTTGGCTCAACGTATCATATCCTCGTGCAGCCGTGGACAAGCCAGTGGTAATGTGATCCTCATTTCACAATGCACTCGATTGCTTACTTAGTTCATAAACAACATTCCTACCGCAGTATCTACTCTCTTGCGGTCCCATTGCAATCCCAAAGGGAATCTAGCAACAAGCAGGTTCGGGCAGGTGCAAAACCCTATACTTCAAGCATGCAAACCCTTCAAGACCCTAAATCCTCTTCCCAAGCTTCAGAATTTGGTGTTCAACCCGAAAACACTAAGACCTTCAGCCCAAGAGACTACAACTCCAAGGCCCTAACACCCTAACGAGATCCTGAACACTAACACCCCAATACCCTCGCACCCCAAATGCCTAACCCCAAAGGATCCCAGGCATGCTGTGGCAGATCTACGAGCCTCTGTGCTTCTGCGCAGGGTTTTTGGCGAATTTGCGCGGCTGCGTCTCTGTTGGTATGGAATGGCTTTTGGTTTCAGTATTTCAGGGACTTTAGGACTTAGGGCTTTGATGTTCCAATGGTCCTTGGGTTGAAAGTATTTGGAATTGATGGAAAGGTGCTTGCAGTGTTGCTGGGTTGCTGGGTCCCCTCCACTATCCTCCAACAGAGCCGTAGCCTGTGCTGCCTTGGGAAGCCATTTCAGCTAGCCCCTAAATCCTAAACCCCTGAACCTTCAACTCAAGCCCTAAACCCGGAAACTCTAACCGAAACCGGAAACCCGAAGCCCCGGGCGCCCTCAGTGAGTTGCATTAAGCAGCATCGGGCTTCCCAAGAAGAGTGCGATAGGGGCATCGGATTTTTGAATAATAAGCTTGCGAGTACAGAATTGCTGGTCGAAATATCCTGGACCCGAAGTCCGGTACCATAGAAGGCAGGTTTCAGATCTTGGGAAGCCCTAGGACATGCCAAATTGGTCGCGGACCTCAGGCAATCATCCAGGGGCCCAAACTCCGTGCCAGCATAGGTTAAGCCTGTTCAGGGCTGAACACAGGGGCTCAAAGGATTTCTTTCGGCTGTAAGAGCTTTCTACTATGCCATTTCAATGCAGGGCACATGCAAAGGCTCCTATGTACTATGTATGTGTCACGATGTCCGAGGCAATCTTCACATGAAGGCCTCAGATCCTCAGGTAGAGCGGAAGCACGTGCTGGGTTTGGGGGCTCTGAGCAGGCACCTAAGACACCATGGACCTTCAACTCCGCGGACGGCATCTGCAATTGAAAACTCGAAAACTCGAAACCCCAATCTCTGCTTTCCACATGTGTACAGATGTGAACAACTGTATGATACCTATCCGAGAAGTTTATTGCATGTCATTGCTGGTATGACATTACACCAGTATTACTGATAGCTGTCTTGCTTGTATTGGCTTTACAGGATCGAAGCCCCAGAATCTAGGCTGTGCGTGCGCAAACCGGAAAGAGTTACATCAAGCGTCGCGATTTGTCAAGGTTAGGATGGTGCGTTGTGACTGCAGACTTTGCGACACTATGGCTTCAGGATCTACATTAGAGGTGCGAGGTCAAGTTGCGTAGTTGTAAGGTCGAACATCGGACAGCTTCACACGTGAAGACCCAACATCTGAATTCCAAATTAAACCCAACGGCCACTTCTGCAGCCCCAAGACCTCAGCCCAACAAGTTGCCTAGACCTGAACTTGAAGCGCATGTTCGCCCCGGAAGGCCTCATCGAAAACCATCGACACTCTGCTTTCCGGTATCACAAACTTCACATCTCGGCCGAGTACTTGATTGAGTACCAGGAATAGGTGTTCAGGCTTGTAATGCTGTCATTACACGTCAGTTCAAAGCGAATGGCAAAGGGGATTCGCTCTGTGTGCACATATCTCTATATATATGTATACGTATGTATTCATACCCATACTTATACTGGATAACACGTACACATACGCATACGCATAGGCATATGCACACGCATACGCATATGCATATACATAGACATATACATAGACATGCACATATGCACATCCATATACATATACATTTACATGTACATAATCCAGTTACATCTTACATATTACATACATACATCCATACATACGCGTATACGTACATGCATGCTCACGGCCCCTACTCACCCCCCCATGATCTACCGAGCTTGCTTTCTGTAAGCAGTGGACCATGGGAGGTGACCGTGGACAGTTGGCAACAATGTTGGGGTGGATGATGGGGTAGGGGGGCGTGTGTGTGTGTGTGACCATATACATACATATGTATATATATATATACACATACACACACGTACATTTGTGTGTGTGTGAATCTGCTAACCTTTTGGGATATCTGTCTGGCAAATGCTTTGAAATTCGATTCACAGGAGCCCAAGGCCCTTCTCAAAGCGAACTTATGGCCTAGGTTGCTGAAGTCTCAAAGACGTTGCCCCCTAAGCCTCTAAAGCCTAACCCGCAAACCTTAAACCCTAAACGGTATCCTGGTCCGGCCTCACGCTGGTCCAGGATCAGCCTCGGTTTGCCGTTAAATGCGGGGTCTCAGATATGTGTATACATATACACACACATACATATAATTACATCTGTGTATATATACATATATATATATATATGCATACAGATGTGTAGGTGTATTTATATATATATGTATACATATGACTGAAAGTTCATGTGTGGTTGTAATGGCCTGGTACGTGGAGGTGATACGAACGAGTACGCCAGAAAAAGCCATTCCAAGATAGACTCTAAACCGTACACCTCACTGTGCCCCCCAAACGACCAGCAAGCTCGAGCAAAATCAACCGAATCTTCAACCCGAAACTGCGAGTTAGGTGTTCGCATTGCCTTTGCATAATTGGATTCGCCGTACAGACTGTGGCAGTACTAATGCCACCCAAAACAACCCGAATCATAGCCGTTTTCATCATTGGGGGTGTCAGGGGGTCTTCGCAACCCTAAACCCCAACAGGGGACTATGATTACAAATTGTTCAGCCGGTCAGAGGCTCCGCGCTGCACGTCGGAACTGGTGTTTGCAATCAAACTCGGAACAGTATTCCAAATTGGCCGGGTCCTTACTGCTCAGACATCGAAAAAAGCACTCCTAATTCCATGAACACTGCCCAGATTAAGACAAGGAGCCAGAGAATGTTGTGGCATTGTGCACCCATTGTACCTGTGGCGGTGCTTGGACTGCAAAGCCCAGAGTCACCATTCAGGAGGGCTATCTGCGCTGTGTTGCCTCAAATTTCGGGGTCTTGGGTTCAATCCCGGGCTGAAGGTTGAATTGGATGTACAATCGAGGCTGTCTTATTGAAATACTCTGGGGCACGACGTCAAACTGCACGATCGCAACTCAGCATCAGGAAGGCATGGTCTCCGGGGCGGATGGCGAGAAAAGGCTGCAAACCCAAAGTTCGCAAACAGCAAGCCTAATTTAAGCTTCACTAATCCCTCTCGGAAGCCAGCTGGCGGGTGCTAAACACCATGTTACGTGTAGAACACACTTTGGACCGTCTTGACAGTTCCAGCCGGGCACGCAGTCGGCAGCTGCCTGGGCAGGACAGCTCAAGCTTTGTTGACTCCTAGCTGTTCCTGGTCCTGTTTTGCAATCCTTGTACTCCTTGCAGCTCCATCTTCGAGCGAGAATCCCAGAACGCACACTCAACTAAACACTTGAATCCGTCAGTTCTACTCGAGCCGGGGCTTTAGGAAGGGAGCGTATGCATGCATGCATATACACGTGTACATGTACATATTAATGTAATGTGGCGTGACGAAGTGTATGCCATGCATACAGCTTACATAATATACCTTGTCTGAGTCTGTATGTATGGTGTGTATGCATACGTGCATGGATGTATGTATGGGGTAATTAGCTGCCGGTATGTATCTACGTATGTATGCAATCAGATGTACGTGTATTCAGCAGTTTCGAGACATCTTTGGTGTTTCGTTTCACGCATGATCAAGGAATGCATCCGCCGCTGAAGCACTTTGCGTCACCTTGGCATCACTGCAAAACACAACCTGTATACCTGCCTGAGCACTGGGCACGAAACCAACCCTAAGTGGCGCAACACTTAAGCCAAACCCACCGAAATGCATGAAGCAAATTCCTGAAACCCTCCAGTATCCTGAAGCACAACACAGAGTGAGAGAGTAGCAATGCGGAATGAGAAGGCCAATTAGAACCCCCAGAAAGATCATCATGAATGGCTGAACAATGGAGGTTCGAAGGCACCAAGTTCAAAACTACGGGAAAAGCCCACGGAAATATGGGGGTGATAGTAGACCCTCCTGCGCCGTGGCCTTAAGCTTCAGCACGGAGCCGCGAGGATGCTAACAAATCTAAACCAGGCCTTCAGTCTGTCTAGTAGGGGTTAGGACTGAAACTTTTATTGACTGGTCCCACGTTCTCGCCACCAGTTACCACAACAAAAGCTTCCTATCTCTGAGTCTCTGAGCCCTCAGCCCGAACTCGAAATTCTGAACACACCCTGCAGCTCTTCATGCTCCACCACATGCCCTCAACCTTAGATTGAAAACCCTTCGAAGCCCTGCACATGTTTACACACGCCCGAAAGGCCAGGACTCTGTGCAAGCCCTTTCTTACCCATGCAGGGGCAGCTGCCCATAGTTCGTCGGCGGAGCCGCCGCGTAGTTCCCCATGGCTGCCGCTGATGGCCCGTAGGTAGGCATCTGGGCATCTCTCTCTTAGGCTGGGACCGCTAGGGCTCAAGGAGCGGGCCGAAGCGTTGCAGATTTTGGATATAGAGTTCTAGATTGCTAAACTAAACTTTCTGAACCCTCGGCTCGAAATCCCAAAGGTTGAAAATTCAGCCTCTTCGGGCTGATGCTTTAGGGGCATGTCTTCTGATGGGCTTTAGAGTCTGACGTCTTAAAGTCTTAAACCTCAGTCCCCAAAACCGCAGAAACGGTGTCCGAACGTCGTATCCCTCCGCTTTGCGCCCTTTCTAGGGTGCGAATCTGCGAGGATAGAACTTTCGTGGCTGCCGTAGAAGTCTCTGTAACGTGCACATTTAGCTGGCGACTCCCATCCTAACGGGCCGTAAGGTTCTGGGTAGCTGCAAAACCATGATCCCTCACGGACTGGACCAGGACCACTCAACAGCCTGATTCAACGCTCCTTGCTTAGTATGTACCTGCTGAAAAAACCTTAAACCCTACGCGGACGTGCCTCAAATCGATGGGCATAGCCCGAACTCCAGTTAGTCTTTCGCCGCAACCGTATTCTCGAAACATGAATCGAAACTTCTCTACAGAAGCCTGCTCTGGTGAAGGACGTCCCCTGGTCCTGTGTTCGACCTTGGCTTCGGACGCTACACATGCAAGGTTCTGCTGGATTCGTTGTACATCCTGAAGTTGTAGACCCTGAACTCCACACTAAGAAGGCGCGGCTCACGCCTGCGGCTGGACGATGCCATTGCATTGTCCGGGTGGTGGAACGTAGGATCCTGGCCAGGTTGGACCTACATTCGGGGGGCTTCGGAATTCGAGGCTGCGTGCAAGACTCAAGACAGCTTGGAAAAGGCAAACTTATACTTAGAGCTTCGCTAAGGCGGATAGGGGACCTTGAACCTTGGACAGTGTTTCATCGGGACACTGGGTGTCGAGGGCGTCGCGATTCCTTCCCGGTTTTGGATGAACGCTTTGATGGTTAAGGATGATGACGATCATGACTACGACGATTTTTGGTGATGGTGATGAAGATGACAATGAAGATGATGATGATGATGACGATGAAGATGACGCAAGGGAAACAACACGAGGAACTGCATTTAGGGGAAGGGAGGGAGTAGGTTTAGCGTCCGAAAACTTGGCTTAGAGATGCACGAGATCCTGAAACCGAAGCATGAAGCCCCAACATCCCTGAACGACCACAGGTCACACCGTTTGACCTTTTACATACTGAGGACCCTAGATGAGGAGTTAGGACGCAACATGCAGGTTTAGGCCTTGGCTGATGAGGGTGCTGTAGGGGCTATGATCTTTGATTAGAGTTTCGGTGCATCTCCGGGAACGGTACTTCTGCTCGATACACTAGAATTGAGCCTCGCAAAGTCTTGCTTTTGCACTGCAATGTTTGGTCTTCGACCGAGCGTGCCACTAATGTGGTGGCTTATTAGGCAAGTTTTGCCCGGGCCACCTCCTGCCATGCGGAAGCTGTAGTTTCAGTGGCTATACCATTAAGTTTTATAGCGTATCTGGCGGACTAAACGAAATATGCAAATACAGCAACCAAAGATGCGAACAGTAGCAATAACCATCACGACGACGTGTGTCTGGACCAGACACTGTTCGGAACCGTGGAACCTGCCACATGTTGAGGGAACGAGATGGAGCATCAGTTTGCACGGATCGCGGGCCTACCCGGAACAGTATGTCTTGTCTTCCTAGAGGAAGTAGGCAACCTCGCAACTACAGCATCTAACTACTTGTAACGGACAACCCAAATTGAGATAGTTGCAAAGAAACCGGACACCGAGAATTTCTCGAAGCTCTTGGTACGAGCACGTTTGAACAGTGGCGGCAGCAACCCTTCTCCAGGCCTGATCCCGTGTATGACGGGACGTATGTTGCGCCTGCACCCTGCGGCAAATCTGCAGTCTAAGCTCTCATTCTTGTGTTGAGACGTTGAAAAAGCTTGTCGAAGGGCGTAAAGACTCCACATACCAGCTACCTGGATATTCAGAGCTGCTCAACTTTACATGTAAATACAATAACCTCCAAATCGCTATGGGGTTCAAAGCCTTGCGAAAGTATGGGATTTCAGCACCGGCAGTTGGCGGGGTCGTAAGCCTGCATCCTGTGGTCCATAGCGGCAGGCAAGACACACCCACACACACACACACACACACACACACACACACCTGCCCGCGCACACCCGCAGTATAAAACGCGGAGGCCCGCACCACAACACCTATCAGAAAGTCATCTGAACCTCAAGGAAACAAAGTACTCCCCCACCACGCAACCATGACGCGAGTACCGTCACTCCCAGAACAAAACAACAGTCAAACTCCAAACCCTAAATTTTCAACTCAAGCTTTCAGCCCCCGCGGCCGGTGCCATGTCTGGCATCACCGGCATGGGCGGCGGAACCTACAATCGCACTGGACCAACTGGAGCTCGGGGCTTGGGGCAGTGGAAGCTGGGTTGGGGTTTCAAGGTTTTGGGCCTTGATCCGACGGCCGCAAAAGTTCCAGCGGCAGTATATCCCATGAGCGCTCAAGGACCGCACTTGTGAAGCTGTTTGAGTCTAGGCTCCTGCACGACCACCCAAGCCTGAAATCTCCAAACCCATGCCAACTTAACCCCACACTCTGGACTCTGAAACTGAGACACTACCCCTGACCTGTACATCAGCCCCTTCTTCTGGAAATTCCCAATGACAAATCCCAAACCTTCCAGTGCTGAAGGTCTATGGTGTACAGTGTACAATGACACCGTCGACGCTAAGCCCCTTAATCTTGAACTCAGAACCCTCTGAGCTCGTGCACATAGGACCCCGAAGATTGTAGCTGAGGCGGCATGTAGGCTCCTGGGCGAAGGACCAACCTTATGGTAAACCTACAACGACCCTGCACAAAACCTCAACCTTGAACCCTGATCCCTAACCCGTGAAGCCTACACCCTAAATTTTAGTAACAAAGTATCAGAATCAGTCTCATGACCAGCCCTTGAAAGCATGATGACTGTTGTGAGGTCGAGCTCTGCCGCGCATTGTCGCAATAGGCTACCGTGATCCTTTTGCTCAACGCTTGTTCCAAACGGTTATCCTCTCAAAGGATTCTGCGAGTTCGGTTGCAGAGTTTCTGGTGTAGAGTCTTGGATTTATCATAGTGTGTAACACTTTGGCACCTTAACCCTGCAGAACAAACGCTTTGTGCGGCCTGTTCTGCTAAGCTCAGGGCCGTTTGGAACTGGCGGAGGCACGAAGGAGCCACCGCCGCCGGTCTGCAGCGAAAGCGTTCGTTGCTTACGACTTCAATGGTGGTATAGAGACTATGCGACTCTGCAATGGACCCGGCCGAACATCTCGCAAAGGCCCGGAGCGACCTCTGAAACTGGACATGCCGTTGGTGAAAGCCAGCCATAGAGCCCCTAAGCCTGCAAGGATATCCAATTTAATGGGTTTAGCCGATAGTCAGTCTACATCTCTCCATGTACAGGCTGCATGTAGGTTGTACATGTATAAGTATATACTATATGTACAAACGTGATTAGTTATGTGCCAAGCGATGTGTACATATACAGTGGGGCCTCTTTAGTCTTAGCCCTTCCCCCGCGCTGCCTGGACCATCGGGGGCAGGTAGCCGCCTCCGGTCGGACCCATCGGGTCCTCGGGATTGCAACAGTCTCGCGAGGAAGACCACTCGTTTGTACGGACACAGGTTCATACAAAGATGTATAAAGATATAGATATACACACATGTGTGTATACATATATACATATATGTATATGTATATATATACATATATATATATATATGCTGTATATGTATATACACACATGTACGTACGTACCTCCTATACGCCGATATCCCTGTTTATCTAGAAATCCATGTGTGTATATAGCTTTATACATAAAAATATACATACATGTTATGTTTGTAATGTTACATGTATGTGTGCATGTTTGTTTGTTTGTACGTGTGTATGTATGTACGCATGTTTACATACATATGTATATATATATATGCAGAGGTACATATCACATGTACATATGTGCATATGTATATACAAGACTACTTAGTGTATACATACATACATACATACGTGCGTACGTTCATAAATCACATTTACCATACAGCTATACAGATCTGTGCATGCATATATATATATATATATATATATATATATATATATATATATGGTACCCCCCCCCCCAGGACCTACCTCCAAACCCTCCTGTCTACATATATGATACCACACTTCATTACCCATGCACACACATACACACACACACACACACACCCGCACACACATGCAACATGGAATAGGGTCTCCGAAGATTCGTGTATACGAACATGACTATACCAGAGGCCCGGCTGCATTAAAACGCGCATTAAAAAATTAAACTTTAATGCAGCCAGGCCCGTGGAACCAAGAATCTAAAACCAAGAACCAAGATTCCCAGGAGTCTTGAATCCTGAATCTTGGTTCCATGGGCACCGGCCGGGCTGCATTAAAATCTGCATTCAAATATTAAAATTTAATGCACCCTGGCCCGTGGATTTTTATACGTTACAATTTGGGATACCTTATAGATACCCTATAGACTGCCCCATACAATACCTTGTTTACCTCCTATATACCCTATATGAGCCTTTTCGAATACCATCTGGAATACCTTACAGAATGTTTCATCAACGCCCTAATTATGCATGATACTCCCCTCATACCTTATACATGCCTTTGAGAACCCCCTTTTGCTATACCCGACAAGAACCGTATAGATCAGGATTTACGTAAAGTTAATCAGAAGGAGCCCAAGCTTCTTGCAGCTTATTGAGCAACGGACATTTATGCCTGTAGAATACCTTACAGAATACCCTTTTTACAAACCGTAAAGATATTCATGTAGAATACGGTAATACCTTATATAATGTTCCTATATTCCCTATACACCTTGTACACCCAAGATCTGAGAGTTCCCCAGTTGAATGTGGTTTATTTAGCAATGGATTCATATCAAGGAACTGCGGAATATAGGAACTAGAAATTCCTTGAAAATCGGTGCTTCTCTAGCAAAGGATACATACAGAGAACAGAGCTCTTCTGAAACACATGCTGCACATACCCCATAGAATGCCTTTTAAACTACCTTTCCCACCGATTTACCCTACATACACCTTATATAATACCATCTGTAATCCCCCGTTGAAAACGTTGAAGAAGAACGCCTCTATTTGATACATCCTGTGTACCTTATGCATGCCATACAGAATACTTGTACAGTACCATTTAGATTACCTTTTAGAATCCATTATAGAAAACCTAACAGTACCTTATAGATAGGGGTTTTAAACATGGAAAGCCAGCCGGAGCCCAAGATCTGAGAATTTCTAGTGGAATTGCAGCTTTTGGGTAAGGGACCCCTATGAAGACATCAGGAACCAGGAAAACTATCCTTACAACTACCTTATAAAATACACTCTTTATGCACCTTAATAAATTTCATAAAACATACACTATAGAATACCTTCCTACATATAGGCCGCAGAATGCCTTTTGTACAATACCTTATTGAGTACCCCCTAGAATACCTTATAGAATGCCCTATAGAATGCCATCCTTACAGAAGACCGCCTGTGGAATTTTTCTTTGGTATACCCCAAATATACCTCATAGAATATCCTCCAGAATACCTTTTAAGATACCGTTTACAATAGCTTATAATATACCCTATAGATCACGGTTCAATAAAGGAACATCATGAGGAGCGCGCCGTTAAATAGCGTAGCATACAGAGGACAGTAGCATACAGAGGACAGTAGACAATACTTCATGGTATTGTTTTGGTTCGAACGGTGTGGTGTCGTGGTAGACAGTGAAGACTACGCAGTATATTACAGTTTAGTTCGGAGTGGCGTCGTAACGTCGTCTAGACAGTACAAGAAGAGGCTTCGAGGTAGGTCCTGGGGGGGGGGGGGTAGCATATATGTATATATATATATATATATATATACATATACATATACATATATACATATATTATGTATACACACAGTGCGACATGCCTGGAAAGGACGACCAGACAGACCGGCGGACACACAGTGATATGCAATCCTGGACGGCTAGGCGCGGCTAGATAGATGCATGGATGCATAGATGGATGGATGGATGGATGGATGGATGGATGGATGAAAGGATGGATGGATGAAAGGATGGATGGATGAAAGGATGGATGGATGAAAGGATGGATGGATGAAAGGATGGAGGGACGCGGGTACCGACGGATGGAGTCTTGGATTGTCGTGGGTGTGTGGGTGGATGGATGCATGGAAGGATTGACGGACGGACAGGCAGGCAGACAGTTAGATAGAGATGGAGATAGAGACAGAGGGAGGGAGGGAGAGAGAGAGAGAGAGAGAGAGGAAGAGAGAGAGAAACGGGGGAGCATAGGACGTCACCAGGCAGACGGACAAAGACATAGATCACTCGCATCTCCCGTACGCGTACAAACAGGTTCCCAGCACCTGTTGAAAATGTCTCGTACAGTGACCCTGGCATCAACGCAAACAAACAGACAGGAGGTATGCATACCCGCATTGGCTGACAGCTCCTGATCCACCAGAAGCTGAGGGTCCAGAGTTCCGCTGCTTAAAATTGAGATCACACACGGCCTTGTCTAGAACTTACACATCGACGGTCTCTCCGATCCTGACAAAGCCACCCCCAAGCAAAAGAAAGCTCCACTCCCAAATCTCTAGCCTATGTAAATCGGTCCTGCCCTCTCTTCACACTGGGACTCCCAACAAGAGAGACGTATAGAAACCCTCTGAAGTCATTGAAAGCCTTCGAACGCTGGAAACAAAGTGCAACAACCCTGTCACCCCTTAGCTCCAAAAGACCCCAAATCCGGAAACCTCTAAAGGTCTGATCCCACATTAGGAATACCCTTGCAGGCAGGTCCTGGGTCGGCCCGGGGCCTTGTCGTGGAGGCCTTGAGGATATGAAACGGCCCCACTAGACTAAAGTTAAGGCTTACAGGGCTCACGGTCGAGTGTGCAGCATCTCATCCGGAGTCCGAGAAACTAAGTATATACGAGGTGCGGTGGTGAGGATCGGGTATGCGACTCTGCATTACTAAAACGATGGTCTCTTAACAATGCTACCGTCGTTGGCACTTGGCGGATGGCTTGGGCGTCCATGCATAAGAACGTCATGATTTGGTCTGGCAGCCCTCAATTTCTGTCAACAGTGCAGGCCTTCGATGTCGTTGTTTGCTCTGGTTGAGGCTTTGGGGTTAAGCGACTGATACGCTGTCGACGCTTTCTGCGAGTGAGTAGTGAGCCGGGTACCAGCCTTCACTGCCGAAGCGCTGTGCTGGGAGCACGGCCCCTGCATTTTCTGCATGTCCTGCTGGAATCGCGCCTGCACCTTGTCAGGATTTGCTATCAGAGTCTGGGTCTACAAACAAGCTACCCGAGGCACAGACAACCCATGCGGGATGTGGGGGTGACTGTCAAACTGCTGTCAACCTGCTTCTGCTGGCGATGACGTTCATGATGGTGAAGAAAGAATAAGATGAGGATACTTTTAAGATGAAGAGGACAACAGCAAGATCAATAACATAAGTCGTAGTCGTAGTCGTCGCCGTCGTAGCAGTCGTAGTAACGTAGTAGTAGCAGCTGCAGTAGCCGTAGCGATAGCGGTAGCGGTAGCTGCAGCGGTAGCAGTAACAGTGGAAGTAGCAGCGCGGTAGCAGCAGTAGTAGCAGCAGTAGCAGCAGTAGCAGCAGTAGCAGCAGCAGCAGCAGCAGCAGTAGTAGTAGTAGTAGTAGCAGTAGCAGTAGCAGTAGCAGTAGCAGTAGCAGTAGCAGTAGCAGTAGTAGTAGTAGTAGTAGTAGTAGTAGTAGTAGTAGTAGTAGTAGTAGTAGTAGTAGTAGTGGTAGTGGTAGTGGTAGTGGAAGTAGTAGTAGTAGTAGTAGTTGTTGTTGTTGTTGTTGTTGTCGTAGTTGCAGTTGTAGTTGTAGTTGTAATAGCTGCAGTAGCTGTAGTAGTTGTAGTAGTTGTAGTTGTAGTAGTTGTAGGAGTAGGAGTAGGAGCAGTAGTAGTCGTGGTGGTGGTGGTGGTGGTGGTGGTGGTGGTGGTAGTGGTATTAGTGGTATTAGCGGTATTAGCGGTATTAGTGGTAGTGATGGTGGTAGTGATAACAGTAGTAGAGGTAGTCGTCGTCGTTATCACAACAGAAATGCAGCCAGCAGTCTAGAATGATCTAGAATGCTATTTCCACCTTCCCACCCCATTGCTTCTGGTATCTTCTCGTAAGAGCAGGGTTCTTGGAACGAAGAGACACCCCAACGCTTGCCCACCGAATGCCACTGCTGGGACAGATCGTATTTGGTTCTCAAGAGCCAAATGCAACCCCACAGCCCTCCATGCAAACTCTCTGAACCTGGCTACGTCTTGACGCTACGAATTGCCTCACGTCCAAAGTATTCCGTAACAACAGCAACCCACGAAGTCCTCGAAACTCAGAAACATCAAACCCTGACGTGAAACAGAATTTGACTTCTGAAGTTGCCAACACCCAAACACTTTGTAAAGTGTACACCGCACAAGACTAAGACTGCCCAAAAGCAGAAACTGCCCGACCTCGTAGTGCTCCCTGTGCAACTCCATCTGCTTCTTCACCTCTTCTGGCTTCAAGGCGCAGAGCTTTACACCAGCACATGCGAGTTGTGGCTTAGGGGTGCCGTGGCACCGAGCTCTCAGCGCCATTCTCACAAAGCATCTATATCCCAACAAGCCTCATCTTTGAAAGGCTCAGGGCCAATGCCTGGGGAGGACCCTGCATCTGTCAGCCCTAAACATTGAAACCTTCACCACAGCCCTAAACCACGCCGTAGGCTCCCTAAACCCAGACCTGATAAGACCAGCAAACGTTGGCTTGAAGTCTACTGTCGACGGAGCCTCGGCACTTCCGGACTAGGCTCGGAAACACCGGGGTTGCTTTGAAGCGCAAGCACAAACTTCCGCAGAACAACAACCTGAAAACACAAACATCATCCAGGCAAAGCGGAGTGTCGGATTGCAGTTTCCAGTCGGGCTTCACTTGGGACATTCGTGCCGAGCCCTTGTTCAGAAACTATGCTCCGGCACTGAACTCCCTACTAAGTCTCTCCTAAACCCCCCGCCATAATCCCTGAAGCTGAAGGCGACAAGCTCCCGGAGTGGATGTTCCGGAACTGGCCATCCCGAACCGTGGCATGGCCAGGCCAGGTCTCCCGGCCATCTCCTCATGCATCTTTTGCTGCTGGTACCTGTCGGGCTTCAGGCATAAGTTACCGCGTAACTAAACTTTAAACCTTTTCAAGAAGGGAAAGCTAGTCTCCAGTCCCAGCTTCTCACGACTCCCCCCCCCCCCCCCATGGTGCGCCTTGAAGCGGCAGAAGGCCGTTGCGTCTAGCAGTATTGTGTTGTTGCTTTTGTGAAAATGTTTCCACGTGCCCGGACTGTGTTGGACTTCGCTTTGCGTCTGCCTTTTTACGCCGCCCTTTCAAACCTACGAGTACTTTGCATGATTCTCTGGAGGTATCCCACCTTGCAACCTCAAGACCTCAATCATGCTTTTGCTCGGAAGCTTCGACTCCTGTATCTGCAATGCGTCGGTGCCATAAACCCCAAACCCTAGAGAGAAGGGTTGACAGTTTGGGGACAAAGTCTTTTTGCATCGTTTCGACGCGACTTGTTCATGGCACACATCGCCCCTGAAGGATTTGCCTCATGGCGCGTCTCAGTAGAAGGCTTTGTGTGTTGCACGTCGTTGCAGAGCTTAGTTTAGGCTCTGTGTAGTTTTCCTCCTAAGTAAAGCCGAAGATCATCAACCTCAAAACCCAAGCCGGAGAGAGCCTACAGCTCCTCTGTACCCGAAATCCTGAACGCTGCATCTCGAAACGGCCGATAGGCCACGAAATCTCTGCTTTGGGGCACTCCATTGTGAGCTGCATCGCCTGCTGCTCCAGAGCCGCCTCTGACAGAAGGCTTTGTAAGCTCGGAGTTTCAAGAAGGAGTGTCAGGTCTAGGGCTTCAGAGGACAGGCTACTAGGGGCTTCAGGTCCTCTGAACTCTAGACCCCCCTACCGCAGGAGCGGTACCGGCCTTCTGCTGGTGATACTGCTGATTCAGCTGCAGCAGCTGCTGGTTGTACTGCTGCGTCAAGGCCATTTCCTGCACACTGCGGCAAAGGGGAAGCACAAGACTCGAAGACTCCAAGAGCCGCATCGCTGCGCGTATGGCGTAGATACTCCATGGACCCTTGTGCATGAGAAGGGTTGAGGCCTATTTCGAGGAATCTAGGGCATCCAGGGCTCGGGGTTTAGGGCTAGGGTTGAGGATCTAACACTTCGACCCTAAACCACGTAAAAATCTGAGGCTTTGGGTTAAGGATTCGGAGCTGGGCGGTCGCAATTGTAGGGGTCAGGTTGCTGCAGTGACCATTCATATTGAAATGGGTGCAGATATACATACATGTCTACATTTTTTCTATCGATTACTATCTATTTGTATTTTCATCTGGCGGTCCCGATAGCCGTGAATCAGTGGGACTGTGGGAGGAAGGATTTCTCGAGTGAATTCAACGAAACTTGTCATTGATGCGAGTAGATTGTTGTAGGGGCCCCCCGCGAGGATGATGACCAAAGCCCCAAAGCAAACAAGCCTGCACAATTGAAGATATGATTGCCAGAGCCGTGGAGACGCCCAAATTCCTTATCACCAAACCCGGAACTTGGAAACACAACAACAGCCCTGTCTACAGTCACCTGCATGGCCCGACCTGTGTCTTGACTTGCTGGTCAATTTGCATGAAGAGGCGCTTCTTCTGCTGCTCGGCCTGACAGAGACGTCCTCAACACGACCCTGAAGTAGCTCTGTTGTGGGTCAAGCCTGCACGGGTAGGGAGGACTCGCGAACCTTTGCAGGTTTACGCAAGTTTCGGGAAGGTAGGTGCCAGGAACGTACGGTCTGTAAGTAAGCGTGAAGAGTGAACTTTAAAGCCTAAGCCACCCGCTCGAAAAAGAACGTCGCCTTGGGCGCGCAATCTACTATATCGCTTCAGCACATTGCTTGCTCGAACGAGCATCTCCGGTCTAGACATCGAGAAGCGGCCACGATGCCGCTGAGAAGCGAGCAATCCTTTTGCCCCCTGACCCCTCATCCCATATCCCATCAGAAAATTAGGGCGCTTGAATATGAACTCGAATCGCTATAACCAGATCAGCTAAATGCCCTCAACCTGACCCCACGAAGCCTGAGTGTTTATGAGCTCAAGCTGTTGCTTTCGCTGCAGCTCCAGTGATTGGCTGCTTCGCTGCTCCTGGTCGAAGCGTTGCAAGGGAGTTTGAAAAACAGCACCAGGTTCGAGGCTCGCGTTTATGACCGTGAAGGTTTTGCGGCTTGCAGTTTCTCTAAGGCGAAGGCTTCTACGTAGCTTCGCCGGGTTTCGTATGCTGGCATGGTTGCTTGAGCAGCAGAGCAGATGGTGTAGCAGTATGTCTGCAAGATCGAAGGCCACACAGTCCAAAAGACAGGTGTTTTGAACAAAAAACAAAGCCTGAGCAACCAGTGGCCTTTGAACTTCCCTTACTAGTCGAAGCAAGAGTGAGCCTAAAACCACATGACATCCACTAGTCATCCGTGTTACACATTACATATTAATTACTATGATAAAACATTGTTATACTAGATTCGTCTAGTATTATCTAGTATTCTATTCCCTCAGCGATCATTTTCCGAATCCTGTTGCAGGTTGGGCTGCGGGCAATAATGCCTAATTCAGTCCACTTCCAGCCTGCTCCTCAAGGGCGTGCAGGTAGTTCTCCTTGTCTCTGAACTTTCAAGATTCAATTTCAGGTTTTGAAGAAGTGGGGGTCAGGAGATTGAGGTGCCGGACTCGGTTCCAGTGGCCATTGAATTGACACCCCTCGACCCTGAACCCCTAACCCCTAAATCAAGCTTTGGGTTTCGATGTTAGGCTCATTAAGGGAAGGCTCGGGTTTGGGTGTTGGGGATCAGGGCCCATTTAGATACGGTCACGGTTTGGGGCTCAGGACTCAAGCCTGCAGGCCCAGGCTCCACGGAACCTCAACCAGGATGGCCTAAAGAAATTTTGCAAACCCCTTGCTGCGCCCTCACCAGCCCTTTCAAGCTTCCAAGCAAGTCCTGAAACGTAAAATCTCCAGCAGACCCCAGACCTGGGTCTGCATACGCATCAACTACGAAGCTCCTTTTGCCTCTCCACAGAGGAAGGGTCTGGCCTGAGCCGCAGCTCTTGGCGTTCAGCAAAGCTTTTTCAAGGGCTTGAAAAGCAGATGTGAAAGAGGCCAGGAATTCAACTCATCCCGAGAATCACATGACCTTTACACGTGGCGCTTCCAGTATCCTTTATCCGAGTTTGTGGTTCGGATTTCAGGGTTATGGGTTCGGCGCTCATTGTCCGAGGCAGGGGTACAGAGTGGGGTCGGCTCTCCGAATCCGTTTGCCGCTAGACGCTAGACGACGTCCTGCAAAAGCTGGGACTTATGGCTTTGGGTTTGAGGTTTTCGGTTTTAGAGCAAGGCTTCAGGGTTTAGGAGTTGACGCAAATTTAGGGCTTCAGGGCCCCGGGCTTAGCTCTGGTTAAGTCGTACATAGTTCCTGCCGTCGCAAAGGCCAGGACGACGAGGAGGCGATCGCTCGGCCCCAAAACTCTTCTAACCCAAGGTTGCGAAACTCAAACATCTCACGATCTTGCTGTTGTCTGGGCGATAAACCCTGCAACACCAAAGCCTTCGCTTCGCCCTGCTTACAGTCTCTCAAAGGAAGACGGAACAGGTTCTTCGAAACTCCGGGCTCGCTTCAAGGTGCCTCTTTCACTAAGTTCACAACAGCGAGGACCCCTAAACAGTGACCGTGATTAGGAACGACCCTCTGCCCGACACCCCAAATCAATCCCAGAAAACCGCGTTAAATTCAGTGGGTATCCGACAAACCCGAGGTGAGGCTGGGAGGTGGCCCATAGAGCACTTCCCGGCCAGATCCCTGCCCACGATCAGGGTGCATTCAGGTTGAGAGCAGCGGATTGGGCAGTGCTTTTACGGGGCTCTTGGTTTGGGTGTTGTTGGGATGCCGGAGATTTTGAGGTATTGATCTGTTATTTGTGTTTACAGGTGCACCGGCGTTTTCTCCTGCAGCCTGCCGCGGTCAATGTTATAGCGGTTTGACATTCAAACGATTTGCGATTTGGCGTTTGAAGCATGCCGCTGTGGGATTTCTACAGGCCGCCGGCTGCGTGAGCCCGCTTGAATTTTCAAGGTTTCGATGTCGGGAGCTTCGGATTTCAGGATGTCTTCAGAAGTCCAGGATTAATAGCCCTCTTGGCCTTTTGCCATTGCTGTCATGTCTCATGTTATTCTAGCTCAGCTTCGCTTCCCGTAAAGCACCTCCAAGAGTTCGGCGTTCGGGCGTTCGGGGACGTGTGGTCTGGGGACGGGGGCCGAAGGATACGTAGCGCTTTCGGAAGGAAGTCGACAAAAGGATGATTTCTGGTCTTCAGGTTTGATCTCTCACTCGCTCGCTCACTCTTCCGCGCGCTCATAACTCTAAACCCAGAGCTGGGCAGCGCGCATGGTTTGTACAGCGGTGCGAAAGGTTCTTTTGAGTTTTGTACATGTTTACCCGAATACCCTGCCAGCCCGAAGCCCAAAAAACCGATCCCCATGAAAACCTGCCTGGTTTGGGCCAGGGGGTCCACCCGGCACAGCACCTGTGTGGAGTACAAGGACTGGGTTGCGCTTTCCGAAGGGCGGTTCTTATACTTAAACTTAAACCCAGGTGGACACATCACATAGTATAGACATACAAAAAATACAAGGAACAGAGGCAACTCCCGTCCCTTCATGCTACGCTACGGTCTCTGATAAAGGGTTCAGACCATCGCATCTTGCCTGAAGGAGAGCCTGCGATACAAGTAGGGAGCACTTTTTCAATGAATTGGATTCTGAGACTCCGCTATATAACTTGTTTGGGGTTCAGAAATCGAGTAAGACTCTGGGGCTGGGAACAGGTTTGGGGTGCTGGAGGCTTCGGATAAAGTTCTTAATACTTCCTTCTACAGATTCTACAGTGGCTGCAACAACCGTACTAGCAATCGCGTTCCTTGCCTACATACAGCTGGATCCCGATGCTGTCACCTGGCGGCATATGTGCATAGGCGCCGGGTGTTGGCTGCGGATGCCCGTAGATCCTGGGATCACTGTCGAGTGGCGTGGGGCTTCGAGGTGTTGGGGCGTTTTGCACATGGTTCAGGATTCATGTGCCAGACGAGTTGAACAAGCCGCAAACGCCTCAGGCCGGAGACCTTTCAGGGAACACCGTTGAAACAGAGCTATGTTTCGGACTCTTAGTGGAGGCTTCTTGTCTTCAAGCGAAAGTCATGACCGAACCTGGCACCTGTAGCGCTTAATTAAGCACAGCGGCCTTGTGATTCCTGAACCGATACCGTTTACATGCCGACACGCTAAGCCAAATTTCACAAACCGAAACCCTACACCTCAAATCAGTCCTACATCCTAACAACCCTCAATCCTGACACTCACACCCTTAGACCTCTCAGGCACAAGCCCATCCTCAGCTCGAAAATCTACAAACCGTTTCAGCTCAGGCGCCCAGGTTGCTGCACCACAGGCCGGGCATCGAACTAGGCTTTTGGGGGTTTCTGGAGATGCTTCAGGCATTTATGGCGCTGAGTCAGCTTGAGGATATAAAAGTGCGGGGTGGCAGGGGGCTGGGCTTTAGGATGTAGGTACGGGACCCGAAGTTTCAGAAAAAACCCGACTGTAGAGATGCTCCTACACAGGGAGTGCGCGAGGCTTGGGTTGCTGTTTTGCTTGCGGACTTCTGTGTTTTGTGGGTTGAAGCCCTTGGCCTTGAAGGTTTCAGGGTAAACCCTGATCCGTAAATCCCTGGGCCCAAAGCCCGAACCCCGACAATAAACTATGCACCGTTGTCGATGGTTAACTAACGAGTTTGAGGATTTTGATACGGGATCGGTTCATAGCTTGCGCTCTGGAGGAAACGTGACGTTTCTAGATGCACTCGAATCGAGAGGCAACCGCTTTTGGCCGGCTTTTCCTGCTCGTATCTGGGTCTGTAAACGTGATACTCTTCGCGGTTGCTCCCCCGTGCTTGCAAGGATATCGACTTTGATGGCATGGTGACTGCTGCCGCGGTCCTGATGCTATCAGAAAAAGCACCGAACATCCACATTCTCTGAGGCTTGCTACTGCTAGCTGTTTGCAATTTATTACGTTGCTGGAACAAGGGCCCTCAAGAGCGATACCCTGCATCAACAATTCTGCATCTGTTCGTGTCAAGCTACTCGAGCCCTATAGCCCTGCTTCAACCGAGGGCTGAGTGGGGGTCTGCCTGCAGATTCGGGCTCGTGTGAAGAGGTTTAACATGCTGTGAGCACTTTCAGAACAAGCTGACGGCAATCCCACGATTCGGTGTCAGGCCGTGCCGCCGAGGAGATGTGAGCTTCAAGGCTTGAGGCACTGACGGGTCTTACCTTCAGAGTTGGCAAGTTCTGTGTTGTTGTGAAGTTCTTGGGTTCCAGCCGATCCTGCGCCCGCTGGGGCGCTGCCATACCTTGGCGAGGAACAGGAACCAGACGGGGAGATACGGAAAATGAAGACCCTACCTGATTTCCATTGGGCATACCACACCTCAGCCTCAAACCAGAGCATAGGGTTTGCACTTTGTGTCTAGAAGGCCTGATTATATCCGTCGGCAATCCTCAACCTCTAGTTCAAGCAGCGACAAAGGTCCCTGCTGCCCGTAGCTCACATTGCTCGGCGCCGCCGCCGCGTAGGCCGCGCCACTGGGGAATGCGTCACAAGTTCAAGGAGCAAGCATGAAAAAGCAATATATGGGAGAGTCAACAGGATGTGGAGACTGTGAATCTTCACGATTTCAGCTATCGACCACATCTACCACACTCCCATCGTGACAGCTTCTCTGTCCGAGAGGATATTCCGGAATCCCAGAATAGCTATGCCGTGAAACTGAAACACAGCACTTCAAATCTCCAACTGTTCAGGCATTGGGACCGTAAACAGCTGATCTCTACAGCACAACATCCTCCAAGCATCACCGAGATCACAGCATCAGATGCATGCGCAGCAATCGGACGAACTCTGCGCCCTCAATCTCTTTCCTGGCCTTTATGAATCTTTCCGGGACGCCTGGAGGTGCAAATGCAGATATCGAACTTGCGCGATTGTGTGTGTGTGTGTGCGTGTGGGGAAAAGCGTTTGCTCAGGCTTCAGTCGGGATTGAAGCTTGAAGAAGCCCTACACCAACAAGCCCTCTAGTTCTCATGCTTTGCCTCTGCTCCAAGATCTGACCCCCAAGCCCTGCCACATCAACCCTCAAATTCTCAACCAAAGCTCGCATTCCCGAAACAACGCCCAACACCTACCAAACCTCAAACCCCGCTAGCTCCAAGTCGAGATTGACTGGGGCTTAAGCTACGTAGCGCCAGAAGCTGCAGCCATGGGTCTGCGGCGGGTCATGAGCTCCGGGGTGTGCGATTCAGGGGTCGAGGCTAGGGCCTTACAGGGTTTCGGATCTAGGAGTTCGGGCTCAGGGCTTCAGGGTTTGTGTGATGTCGGAGTCACTTCAAATCCGCGAAGGTGTGCAGGCCTTCGGCCCTCAACCTAGACTCAAAGGCCCTAAGCCCTAAACCCGTCAACCCTAAACCACTACATCCCAAAAGCCGCACAATTCCGAAACCACAGACTTAATCCCAAAACACTACGCCCGAAACCCGTAGCCTGGGACTGCAAGTCCTGGACCTGAAGCTCCCAAAGCTCGAGGCTCCGAAGCCCCACCCTGACGCCGACTCTCCATTACAGAGAACCCCCAAACGGGCCTTAACAATTACGAGAGGGTTTTGGGTATATTAGACTGTACTATACTTGAAACGGCTTTGGGGTATACTAGATTGTAGTATACTTATAACAACAAGGAACCCCTAAAGTCGTATGCGTAGTTGTTGAATCCCCTCTCTTACGTCCTTGGAGCGGCACCTTCCAGGGCAGCGCAGATGCTCTGGCACCCAGGAAAGAGCCAAAGGCCAACCGGCGGAAGAGGAGTCAACTACGCTCCCCAGACCCTGATATAGGGGCCTTCATGCTTCGAATAGAGGTTCGGGGCCCATTATACTATACATATAATAAGGACCCCCCCCCAAAAAAAAAATAGTATAGGTGATTCTTAGGGCCCCTAAATTAACACATTATCCCCAAACGTCTCAGTGATCACCACTTCTCGGGTTAGGGTTTAAGCTCTCGGGCCTTGCAGGCTCAGTAAACTGTGCCTTCCGGCAGCCACCCGAACACCCAAGTTGGGGTCTTGGGGAGGCTACGGGGTAAGTTTTGTCTGTGTCTGTGCTTCATTGACGTCAGGCCCTGGCCGTGCGAGTAGAAGCTCGTCTTACTTTCGCTGGGCCTTATAAAGGTCTCGGATTGTGTAGCGGTTTAGGGGTAAGGCTGTAGGAAAACAACAGCACCATTCACTGATCTTGCCTTGCGGCGGCAACCCGAGAGGATGATACTTAGTGTCACGCTGGACAGCCTTGTGGTCTAGGAGCCGCCCCCCAAGAGAACTCAAGTGCCAAAGCCCTAACCTTTGCAAGTCTCCTAACCTGAAACCCTAAATGGGCGTCACTGATCAATCCTTCTAGTTGAAACAGCTGCTCAGCGCCCGCGCATACGCTGGCACCTCCACGAAACTCAACCCAAAACACTCATACCCAGACGGAGAAACCCGCATAAAGTGCAGCAAGACCCCAGCAACTTAAAGCCTCAACCCCGAAAGCCGTAGTCAAGATTCTGGACCTCTGCTCCCATCGTCGCTCAATCCAGAAGTTCGAACGAACTTCGAACGAGAAAGGTGGATTTGGGTTTTAGGGTTTTACGCTTTCTTGAGTTGGGGCTTTGAAGCTGAATATCTTGAGGGTCTTTTCCGTCTTTGCGGCCACTCTCGAGGTGAGGATAAGCAGCTCAACAAACAGTCTGTTCTGCCAAACCCGAAACCACCTTCCGGCAACATGTGGCACACCGTGGCCATCGAAGCAATGCCGAGTTGGCAGTTGCTGATCTAGAACCTCTAAGGCTTTGATGCGTGTAAGCGCTCATAGCGTCTGGAAGCGAGGCTTACATCCGCTTGAACTGACGCGCAGGCTGTTGGGAGCATCAGGATTCAGGGCCGAAGTTGAGGGATCAGCACGAAGAGAGGTTTTGGAGGGAGCTTCTCATTCAGGGTTCCGCAAGACGCGAGCCCTAAACCGCAAGATCTCTGTTGGTGAAACTGGATTCGGCATTCATCCGGCGACTGCCTTAGTACTTAGCACCGGTCTGTGAACCTCCTGCAAAAAGCTTAAGTTTCCCCGGTGCTCCACCCGAAACTCCAATTACTCGGCGCCATCTGTAACTCGAGACCTTGCTTCCACGGGATTCAGAATCAGGATTAAGAAGTCTTCGACAAACCCACTTCCCGCTCGATATTGCACAGGTTGCCAGCAGGAGCCCTCAGCTTCAGGGGTGCTCTGCCATAAAACCGGAAAGTCCCATTCGAGACCCGTCAGCCCTGAACGTTGTCTGGGCAACAGCATCGAAAGACTTTGGGTTAGGCCAGAAACCTCCAGGCCAAGACTTGCCAGGAAGTAGTATACCACACTGTAACAGTGTGTGCTAGAGACAAAGCATAAGGCATCAGCCGCTAGCCAGTTGGCTAGCTATCTTGCTTGCTACATAGATTCACAGATAGATGCATTGATGCATAGATGCGTGGATGCATGGATGGATGGTGGGAGGGATGGAATGATGGATGGACGGATGGATGGATGCCGGCATGGAGACATAGGTAGATGGATAGGTAAGCAGAGAGATAGAGACATAGATAGATAGATAGATAGATAGATACATAGATAAAGAGAGAGACAGATAGATAGATGATCGACACATAGATAGATAGATAGATAGGGAGACAGAGAGAGGGAGAGAGGGACAGAGAGAGAGAGAGAGAGAGCGAGAGCGAGAGCGAGAGCGAGAGCGAGAGCGAGAGCGAGAAAGCGAGAGAGAGAGAGAGAGAGAGAGACAGAGAGCGACAGAAAGAGATAGAAAGAGAGACAGACAGACAGAGAGAGAAAGAGACAGAGAGGGAGAGAGAGAAAGAGGGAGATTATCTTCCCTGAGACCTCAACGCTCAAAGCTCCGTGCTACCTGGCCGCTACCTTCCTTGACCCTACCTAGATCCGTAAATGGCTAGACCCCCAAACCCCGCAGCCTAAACCCCTCAAGCACCAAACAAGGTTCTGACCGAGATCTCCGTCGATGTGCACCTGGTCACGGCTACTGCAGCTAGGAGGCAATGATCATGGAACAGTGTCTTGGGAAACCTACTACGCATCAAACGAAGAAATGGGACGCTGCAAGTAATTTTTGTGGGTCCTATACTAGCCTACGACTAAATCTATGCCGTAGCACAATGCATTCTAGCTACTGCATTGCACGGGCAGAATGGTCCTAAATGCCTTTCCGTCAGCCCTACGCAGTGCCTATCGGAGAACATACAACCGGTCAGAACCGTTGAAACAAAAAGTTCTAAGGCCGAATTGGTTCAATTCGAAATCCGACAGTAACGAAGTCTAAGATGAGGACATCTGCATTTCCGTTGGATTTGGGGTTTCTGGTAGGCAGAGATTGCGTTAACGTTCGCTATCGAACAGGACGTCTTCCTGATGCGGATAGCTAGTGCAGTTGGTGCTCGTTTGAACTTGAGGGTCTCTGAACTTTAAGTAGGATACAGGCTACAGGCTTTGAACTTTGGGACGCAAGGGCCATGGGGTTGAAGCCTTAGGGTCTGAGACGTAGGATTTGGGAACCAGGATGTTCATCGCAAATGTCCATCTCCAGCATATGCCCGAAGATTTCAAACCCAAACACTTCCCGCTGGACCTTCCACGGTGGAGTCTGCAGCCGCTAAAACTCGCGCCGTCAACTCGAGACATCTCAAAACCATGAACAAACCCGGCTGATGAAATAAACGCAGAAATCCAGATGCCTCCAGCACGAAGCCCTCAATGCCTAAACGCCAAACGCTACACCCAGCTACAAGTAGGGCCTCGAAGCTTCTCAGCAACTCGGGATATGCAAGGTCCTGCACTGTAAGAAACCGTTTAGTTTTCTGCTCCACGCGCAGGCGCACATGCATGGGCTCTCCGCGAGAAACGTCATCAGAGTGTTTAGGAAGTTCAGGGTCTGAGGACAATGGTCTAACTTGGCTGATTTGCGATGACGTTATGAGTTTACGGAACTTTTCTGAAACATTTAGGCAACTAGGCTGCAGGAGTGCCGGATTCACTTGCAGCGTTCCCGGATTGAGAGTCCAATGAAATCAACTCTACTACTACTATTTTACCTGGAACCCCAACCGCAAGCCCCAAACCCTAAAAATCACCCCGGAACCTCAGAACCTCGAAAATCTCAGGTCTTGATTACAGAGTCTAGGAACTCAAAGGCGTGGGGCGTTGAAGCATGCGGGTCTGCCACCATATATGTTTGTCAAGGGTTTTGCGGCGGAACATGCTAAAGCCGACCAAGGATCGCCGTGAAAGACGGTAGGGCTAACTTGTTCAAGGAGCTCATACTGATATCCAACATCCAGCAAACGCTTAAGACACAATAGCCTAAGAAACAACCTGGCAGCTGAGGTGTCAAGACCTTGCAGATAGCTGTAACTAAGTTGCAACCGTGCAGCTCACAGATCCGTACCAGAAATACAGTGAATTCAGTTTCGAGACTTTGAAGCAGCACATGATGGCTCCTCGCCCTTGAGTTCTTCGTCGATCGCCTTCCGCATGTACGCACACAAACAATCTTGCGACAAGGGTTTAGGTTCTGTGTGCCGGCGGTAGGATTTCTAGGAATTTCGGACGGTCGGCTGTAGGCGGAAGGATTTTGGAGTTTCGAGGTAGGACAATGCTAGCCCCAACGAGCTGTCGGGCTTGCGCATGTGTCCCCGCAGTCCGCGCAGACTAATGATGGTGCGGTGACTGCCTTTCCAGATTCTCATTCATCCGAACCACTTCAGAGAAGGCCGCAGAATGTCATCGGCAAACGGAAATGACTGACAACATGCTGCCAGCCACGTTCGCTTAAAAACACACACACACACAGGTAGGTTTGTACAATGCAGGATCGAAGCAACAGTTCAACAAGAAAGCACCAGCCGAAATCCGCGGTAGGCCCAAAAAGCCCAAAAAAATGCTTGTGGTGACCCGGCCCGACGTTCAGCGGCGGCAAGCGGCCGCCCAAGGGCTTGGAACAAGGCTGCGACCTGCCAGGTTGTTTTCGGGTTCAGGCTTTGCAGGTCGGGCTTGCGGGCGTGGAGTTTAGGGTTCAGGGTTTCGGCGAGATCTGGGGTGAGCCGTTCCTTGGTGTTCCAGTTAGGTTCTCGTGGGGCTCCGCAT